AAGGGTTGAAACCTTTCTTCAGACATTTGACTAAAAATGTCAAGGGGTTAAAACGCAAAGGAATAAGTAGTCAGTGGAAACGATGAAAAACAGTGTAGATCTTTATTGACCGGGCGAACGGTTAGAACTGGCCTGTTTAGGGCCACACAGGTCACAGAACGTCTCCAGAAAATAGGAGAACAAATGTTGCAGTTGTCACGGGACTAGCTTAGACACACGAGTGAGAATAGTTCACGAAGGCTTTTACGCGAGATACTATCCGTATAGAAAAGAGAACGTGCATAGGTTTAGAGTTAGACTGACTTTATTCTGGTTTTGGGTTGGGATATATATATGTTCTTATTATCTTGTCCTGGATGGTTTGGAAGGGGTTGGATTTTGGAATTTGGAGTTAGAGGTTTCGGTCGTCTGGTGATTCATGTAGGCTGATGTCACAGGGTTGCGTCTTGGATTTTGGAAGTCTAGTCATATCGATGATTCAGGTCGGCTGTCGTCACACAGTCCTAGGACCGCAATGTCCCAGATCAAGTGGAGGACTGCTTTATGTCCATATTGTCAGCGCCCCTTGACTTGTACATACTCAGCGCCACCTAAACCACCACTTGGGTAAACCGTAACGAGGAGCCAAATTATTTATACTTCCACCACCATAGAATGATACACATCCACCCCCAATATTATACCAACCGATCAGCAGACAGACGAACCTTATAAAACTACCGACAAGGCATTCACAAGAAGATTCTTCCAGAAGACTCCATCACGATCACAGCATCATCATCGAGACCCACCAACACTCAGGGCAGGAGACTGTCTACTATTAGAACTCTCTGCAGTTCATCAACAACCAGGCCTACCTCTATCAAGTTAGAGCAGGCCGCATCCCAGCAACATTGCCGCAGCAGCGTAGCGGGCCTTACAACCCCGTGAAATTCCCTGAGCGAGTTGCAGTGTTCGGGACGCAACACCAAAGACAAAAACGCAGAGGAAGGGGTCGCCCCCATATCACTAGGATGTAGACTTTACTTCGCTGTTTAATTTTACTACAATATTCCTTATTTTCTTTATTCTTAATTAACATTCACCGTCTCACCGAACACGTGAAGCACCGTGTTGGTTTTTCTAACCTCTGAATCTCCAACAGTTCGCGTGACGATTTTTTCAAGGGAAGCGGAATTAATGGAACACGGTGACGAACGTGTACCGTGGTTGCCTTGGTTCTTTCCCGTTCACGCGACACCATGGGCCCGCCATAAATTCGTCGGGGTACAAAGAGAAACGAAACTCAAGAAGGCGCACGATGCTTTATGTCCCGCATCACGCGACCCACCGATAACATTAACGAACCAATCCCAGCCTCGTGCCTTTCTCCGACCGTTTTCTACCCTCCTCGGAAAACGACGGGGGTGAAAGTTATCGTTTCGACCGACTGCTCTCGCGTTCTTCTGCTCGCACGCCCTTTCTTCGCCGACCTCCCTTTCTGCCTACTGCTGCCCAGGCCACGTCTGTTGGCCTTCTTCTCTCCCTGTTTGGCCCACTTTCCCCTGTCGCGTGGATCTCGCTCGTGTTCGTTAAACACGCTCCGATTTTTACCAACTACTCGTCTTCGTCGTCGTTGTCGTGGAGCTTTTTAATCATCGGGGGACCGACTGGATGGCCCACGCGTGGAAATACAGGGGCACGATTAACCTTTCGTCGTGCCACTCGTCGATTAGGAGCCGCTCCTTTTCGGTTTCGGAGGATAAATGGTTTCGTTTCGTGACGAATCGGTAGCTTGCCGGGCACAGCCGGTAATTCGTAAACGTCGGAAGCTGCTAGGGGCACGATCCGTCCAAGGGTTTAGAAAGCTCGGGGAACTGTAGGAAATTCTAAAGAAGCCGCTTATCGGATCGCAGGGTGGTTAAAAAAGGAATTAAATTGCGGTTCGTAAGGAAGGATCAATTCGCGGAGAACCGTCTATGTCTTTCCACTCGACGTATCCGCTGCTCGAGGGCGATTCGATTTGAATTCCAGCGATTCCACGGCGCACTCCACGTCGAATACCACCGCACAGACGTTTTCATTCCGTCGTCGAGCCTTCTTTCTTTCCCGCCTTAATTCACCGCCCCTCTTTGCAGCCCCTGTGTTCGCGCCACCTGTTCATTTTCAACGAGACCTGAAGTATGCACGAGCTTCCATAACGAATGCGTTCTCTCGTTGCGGTGTGACGGCTCGATAACGATCGGCTCTTGCATCGCGAGTTACGTCGCTCTCTCTTACAGCAGCAACGTCGTCGTCGTCGTCGTCGTCGTCGTCGTCGTGGTGGTTGGTCGTTGACATGGTCGTTTCTATCCTAGAACGATGCGTCTCCCCGGTGAAACATCAAAAACTTGCCGGCGTTGATCAAGTTGAATGGGATAGCCAGGAGAATTCGGAGCGTTCTCCTTTAACCCCGAGTACTCGAGAGAAATTTGTTAGCTTTCCAAGGAACATCGGTAGCGGTGGTCCAAGCTAGCTAACGGACCGTTTGATCTTCCGCGAGTCACCTCGTCGTTCGTTGAAAGATTCACGAGAACGCTCGCTCCGACAGCCAGTTTCGTTCAACGGTTCGCTATTCACGGTGTCGGCCGTATTCACGAACGAAAGGCAGGGTACTTCTCCCTGTCCATCCCTCTTTCTCTCCCCTTTCTTCACCGTCTTCTTCGGAGGAGCATGGTCGGAACACGGTTCCGCGCCGACGAGGAGCCACGATTTTCATAAGCCCTTATTGCCGTGCTGGTTGCCGAATCGCGGACAGGGCGAGCCGAGGGAGAGGAAACGGGAGAAAGGAAGGAGAGCTTAAGCGTTGACGACAGTTTGAGAGATTCCGCGAGTATCCCGTTTGCGGCTAATGTACCGTCCTCACCCTCCCTCGCGGACGTCCTTTCTTCTCCAGTCGAGCCGCGACTTTAACGCCAGAGGAAATCCGCGCCTACCCCGCTTCCACCATCGTTTCTCCGTGTCTCCGCCTCGATACCGTACTTCCTTTCTTCCCTTTTCCTCTCTTCCCTTCTCCCTCCTGCCTTTCCCCTTTTGTCCCCGCTCCCTCTCAACGCCAGATGCTACTAACTGCACACCCTCCTGACGAGATCCTCCCGTAGGCTGTGCTGCCTGTTCAGCTTCTTTCCGCCTGCGAGAGCCGTCTTCGCGAGCGGAGCTGAATTCTCACGCACGCGGCCCTTCGTGCACGCAGGCCAGCCTCGGATCGAACGTCTCGCGCTCGTTCGACGCCCTTTGCCCTCGCTGCCTGTGCTCCGCCACCCCCGTGTTTGCGGTTGTTTGCGCCGCCAGCCGCTTCGTCGAGCACCTCTGCCTTTCATCACGGTGATTGGGTCGCGAGTGTCGTTGCTTATCGATGGAAAAGTTGCTCGGAATAATTGGAGAGCTTCCATTAACCTCGGTACCTTCCTCGTCCAACCTCCTCTCCCCCTCTCTCTCTCTCTCTTTCGCCCCTTTAGCTCCGCGTTAAACCCGCAGTTTGCGTTTTGACGCCGCCATAAATGCATCCGCGTTCTATTATTTACCGATCAACCGTGATACATCGACCACTCGTTAACACTTGTACCCTTCGCGCCCGCATACATCACCGATGTTAAAGTATGCACCACGTTCCACCCGGGCTGTCGCAATGGCGCGTACCCCTCGCGGCAGATGGTTCCGCGCGTTTCACCGTGTCAATTACCAGCGCAACGATGAATCGTTCTCTCGTTAACGGAGAGGGCCGACGACGATAAACGCTCGGGTTATTTGATCGGTCCCGGGCCCTTATTGTATAAACAGTTCCGTCCGCGGAATAAATCGCGCCGCGGGGGTGGCTGCAGGAGCTCTATAGATAGACGGTGCTCGAGCGGGGGGAGATTTCGGCGATACACCGCGGCGAATACGAGAAGTTTCGTGCCCCCGGTGCACGCGCCGGCGAAACGACGCAGGCGTCGCAGCGCTCGGCCACTCGGTGATTAATTAAAACGGAGGTTAATATACGGGTCGAGGCGCGGCTTTAAGAGCAATTCATGCTGTCCCGGGGGTCAACCACGGAATACTTTTTAGCCGGTTCCACGGTGGAAAGAGTCAACGAGCGGAGTCTGATTCCCTGGCCGGTTTAATGGGCTACTACCCTGCTAATTCCGGCCAGACTTAAATCACGGCCGCGTATCGAATGAATTACCCATTATTTTCGCCAGCGGTTGCCGCCATGCGACGGAGGAGCCAGACATTTGCCTCGCGAACCCCCGCGAGGTTTCCGGCCACGAGAAATCGAGCTTCCTTCGAAGAGGACTCGAACGAGCGGTTGGGAAAGGCTGCAGCGTGAAATTTGGACGAAATTCGCGGTCCGGATGAGAAATCAATCCGTGTTGTAGGAGGGAGGACCACCGGTAACCGAGTGAAATATGTCGGCGTCGGTGTGCGGCAGTGGCGCGTATCAATCTTTGACGGATCAAGCGAGTTTCGTGGCGCCGCTTAAGTCCGTGGTATCCATTAAACTCTCGTCAGCCGTGGATCCACGCGTCGGGCTATGGACTTAAGGAAGTTTGATGGAAGTTTTCCCGCTGGAAGGAAAATTAGATGACGCGAGATATCGCGGTCCCTCGTTCCCTTCCAGCTCGCCGACCAACTACTTCTCGATAACCTCGTGGCTGCTGACGCCGGATTATGAATATTTCATTTTTTCCGCAACGTCGTAGACGCGTGCACGCTCCTCGAGGCCCGGCATCCATGCCGATGCACGCCGGCCGTTCATTGTTCGCGAACAATGCGCGCTCGAGTGTAGCCTTATCGGCGTACCAGGCGATTCGATTCGTAATATACAACCCCGGAGATGTTCTCTCGGACGAATTCTCCGCGAGAGGAAGTGGTCTCGAAAAGCGTCTGGAAGACCGACTTTGCTCGTAACTCGTTGATAAATCACCGATAAACTCGGATATCCGATGATTTCCTATACGTTCAATACAGCCGTGTAACTGATTTTCTTTTCTCTGTTCCAGCTCTCGGAGCTCGAGCAGCGGGTGTTGGAAGCGGAGGGTCGAGCCGACGAGGCGGAGGACAAGGTGAGAATAAATTACAATCGCCGTGGTTTCGTCATCGAGGAGAGATCTCTCCTCCTTTCGATATTCTCCACTCTTTAGCGAGTTTCCTCGAGCTCGTAAACAGCCATTCAGGCCATCGAGAGAAATCGAAACGACGAGTAAATCGGTTTTGTCTCGCTGCGACCAATCGATTCCGCGTAAACGATTACTCTGCCGTTGGTTAACGCGGGTCGACCGACTGGCCCCGAGACGTCCAGGATGAATAATTAATTTAGCGAATGCTAACCACGCCGCTTGGCGAGACCTTCGCTGTAACGCTTCGCGACCACCGCTATGCACACCGCGTGTCTCGTCGCGATTCGCTCGTCCTCGTTGCAACGCGAGTTTCACCGTTCGGCCCGAATACAATTACAGCCGTCTCTTCCCCGTCGTTGAACAGGACGAAGAAATTATAGGGGAAAATTCATGGATCATAACGGAAAGCGTCGCACCGTAGCGACGCGCGCTTTGACCTTCCCCGCAGCCTTGTCCCTGAGTTTCTGCAGGAAATTTCAAGTTCCAGTCGGACCGTGAAACGTTAAATTCGGTGAACCAGGTTAATTAGAAGTCCGTGCATAAGTAGAATAGAGAGGAGCTAGAATTCCGCGCTGAGAAACGCTCCAGCCGGCTACGCGATCCTCCACCTGTCAGCGTGGACGGGACACCGAGAACCGGCTTCCTCGACAATGGATTCGTTTAAGCGGGTGCTTAACATCGGAAACGCTGTTGTAATTGGATAGCAAACTACGTAGGACAGTCGAATTTCAAGAAATCTCCTATTCGTTAGCTTTCGATGAGCGCGTACAGTCCAGCGACCGCCGCTTCAGCGAGCATTGACAGAAGCTAGCTATAAAACCATCGGTAAATCGTTACCGATGCCATCGTCGTTCTGCCATTTCGTCAACACCATCTCCATAGAGGTGCCCAAGTGGTGAAGACCGAAAAAGCAAAGTCCCACGCGGAAATATCGATACTGCGTTACCGACCAGTCCGCTACCCTCTCCGTTCGAGGGTGCATCTGGCAACAGGCCGACTATCGTCTCCACCGAGTTCCTCATCGATTTTCTCCCTCGACCTTGCAGCCCCGCTGCTTGGCCTTTACCGACGGATGCCCAAATTTCCATAAACGATACAGCCCTGACTTCGTACCAACCGTGGGCAACCGGAACCGCGCGACCTCGCGCGTGTCCCGATGAATCCGTCCACCCTTCGAGATACCGGTGAAGTCTGTCATCGATTCCGCTGGTAATCGACGTTAATTTCCCTTCCACGTCGAGGAAGTAGCACGCGGACGTGAGCGGACGTGCAGCTGCTTCGCTGTATCCGCTATAGATCTCGAGGCTCTGCTCCAGTTTCCTGAAAATATCCGCCATTTCTCGCGGCCATTTCGAACTTCTCCAAATGCATCGCTCGAAGGAGAGTCCGCTCGATTCGATGCAGGATCCCGATGCCCGATTTATCCTCGAAGCAAAGGTGTTCGGAGAGCGAAAGTTCGGTCGGTACACCGGAAGATCCGGGTGTCAGGGCGCATGTTGCGTCGCATTGATTTTTGCGTCCGGCTTGCGAGAAAGACGGGGACCACGAGGACGGGAGAAAGACGAACAGCTGGAACCGCTGATGGACGAACGAGGAGGGCACGAGAGGCAAGAGGAGAGAAGAGAGAGAAAGAGAGAGAGGAACGACAATATGGCCGTGCGAGCGGCCGGCAAGACCGTCGTTTTGTTATGACCTCGAAATTCGGCCAAGAAGTCGGGCGTTCGTGAACCACGTGCATCCGCGGCCGGTGTCAACCAGCCGATCTCTCGCGATCGTTCTCGATCCTCTGTGCACACCCCTCGATCCCGACGGGCAGGATCTGCCGGGACAGCCGAGTCGTCGACGAGCCAGCGCGTTCTTGAGAATTATGGAGCCCGGCAGGTGACACCGATGAAAGGTAAACTCGTCGACACCAGTCGTGACACCGTCTCTACCCCTACAATTCCACTCACCCCGTTCATCTCTCTTCCACCACATCCGTTCCGACCTCTAGTTTTCGGGTCTAGTCGTTCCGCGGTCGTTCTCCATCCGCGAAGCCATTCTTCGTGGCTGTTCGGCTTGACAGCGCTTAGCCTCGTTCCGCTTCACGGGACCACGATGACGTTTGCGTTCTCGCCTGTTCGTTTAAGGTTGGTAGCGCGCTTAGAGTATCTCGCTTAATCGCAAATCAACCCTTCCTGTGCTTTTCCATTTTCCTTCTATCTCTTCCTCTGTCTATCCCACGCTCCCTCCCTGTCTTTCACTCTATCGCCGGGAAAACGCGATCAACGACGTTCGATTTTCGAATCCGCGAGGATGACGCGGGCCAGAGTGACTTGGGCTAGGATGACCAGGTCTAGCCGCGTGCACGAAGAACGAAAGTGGTCGGACCCGTTATCGGTGAATTCGATAGAGATGGAGGATCGACGAGTGCGTCGACACGCAGCACAGCGTCTCAGGGGAAGGAAGAAGAGGCGAGGAGCGACTTAGCAAACTCGGGTCGACTTAACGACCCGCTTTGACGGGACGTGTCGCGTATAGAATTGGCGTGCAGCCAATTCATGAGTAATCCTCGTTTCCCGTGAGGACCCGCGCGGCAAACGAAATAAAGGTACTCGCAGCAGCCGTTCCTTTAAATATTTCAAAGAGGCCGTGGCGCCGCACTCGTTCGGATCTTGCTCCTCGGCAACATCGTTCGTCCCCTCGAACGTTTCATCTGGCTTCTTCGAACCGTTTAAGAACCGCGGTTTTCAACCCGGCTCTTAAACCTGCAAATTTACCGTCCCCGTTTTCCAGGGGGACCTTCGGAAACCTGCATCTCTTCCCTTTGACAAGTTCCCGAGGACGGAGCGAGCTTTGCTTTTCCCGCTTGGCCTTGCTCCAGCTCCAGAGCTCCAGTCTCCTCCTCTGTCTCTCGCAATTTCTCATTAACGTGGAACTCGCGCAATGCACGCAGCACGGCGGACAATGTCGAGCCCTTCAGCCGACGACGCGTTTCTCACGCGTTCGTCGGTCGTTGATCCATTTAGCCAGCCGCAGTCGTGGTCGTCTGTTCCCTTTTTTCTCCGCGGGTTCGTTCCCTCAACGATCGCAGCTGAATGAATGTTGCTACACGTACGTGTGCACGTTAACGGCTGCTTTTGGCGGGAAGCCAGCGCGTTTCGACGCTGCGTCCGTGAGAGGTGATACCGCTTTGTCGCACGTGCGCCGAACCAGCGTGAAAAGATAAGGGGACCAGCCTCTCTGCTCGTCCCATGGAACCCTCCGTTCCCCACGATCCGCCCGTCCCCTTCGCGGGAAAAACAAAGTGGCCCTTTGCCATTGAGAATGGCAAGGACCGGGGTAAGCTCGGTTAATCCGCGACAACGCGGCTTGCGGCCCGTCCGGAAGGATCATCGTGTACTATACTCTGGGTTCAATTTCCAAAGACTCGATTTCGCATTCGCGAGTTGAAACGGGAAGAGAGGAGAAGAGGAGTTGGCGATCGAGCGATAACGGGACGCGCGACCCTGTCGCGTTTCCGTAGATCGGCAGATGGGACTCGATTATTCCAGCACGGAGCTATTTCTAGTTTCGCAGCATTTCGCTTTCAGCTTGCGCGTCCAGAGACGCAACGCGAATCGATAAATCTTCGGACAGAGTTCAAACGTCCGTGGAAGTCGTCCGATCGAGTGATGAACTCGGTGTAGCCGGTCGTTGTCTCTGCATTAAGCAGCTTCGACGCGACTGCCAAGTCTGTGCCTCCCTTGGTCTCCCTTCTGAAATCCAATGAACAGCGTTGGAAAAGACGCAGAGTCGCGAACGAACGCGTAAACGGTTGCAGAATCGGAGGAATTCTAATGTTAACGCGGTTCCATCCACGAATGGTGGAAGCTGGAGCGTGAGCTACCTGGTGCTCCACGATGCTCCACGCGACGTATGAGCTTTGACTTGGACCAATCGACGATCGAAAAGCTCATCCCTCCCATGGAACGATCAGTGGTGGCTATAAGACAGCCCGTGGACGATGGTTGATCGCGGGACGTGTCGCGTGGCGACGACGACTAGCGCAGGCCTGCGAGATACAAACGTGGAGCAGATCGATAAATCTCAAGACGCAGTCAGTGTAGAACGTGTCCGCGATCTGGCTGTCGCGTTTTCATCGGTTTTCCCCGGCCTGTCCCGCGGTTGTGGAGGCTGTGCGCGAATCGGTAGAGTCCAAGGAGGAGCTGTCTGTCGTCGGCTGTCAGGCCGACGTACTCGCCCCAGGGGTGGCGTGTGTGCACACGAGGACCTCTACGAATTCTGCCATTGGCCACGAGCCAACGTGACTCATCGGCCGCAGCAAAGGCCAGAGAGTTTACGTGCATTAGTTCCGTTCAGTTCGGTTCGATCATCGGCATCGTGCGCACCCTTTTCCCCTTCGTTCATCCCCCGAGAGTCGTTCAGGTTCGCGGTTACGAGGCAGGCAAATCTCGCCGCTCGTTTTCCCGGTGCGTGGGAGTGTCCTCGAGAATCGAGCAAAAGGGAACCCTCGAGAAGAGGAACAAAAGGGTTGCAAAGGGGTCTTTGCTCGATTCTGATTAGCTCACGATCGGTTATCATGGCCACTCGTAGCTTGGGTAAGGAATCATCTCGATGGCGTTTTCCCAATTAAGAGGCTGTGCGGAGAGACGGAATGGTGAAGGAACGCGTGACGAATTAATCGTGTCGGGAACGAAGGGTGCACGTGGTTAGACAGGATTTTCAGCATCGTGGCGAAAGAGTGGTTGGAATATCTGGAAGGATAATTCGGTGAAATAACGGGTGCTATTAATACCGTGTTCTGCCAGCATCGATTCGCATAGCGTCCCCGCTTTGTTACTCATCGTGCAGGACACAGTGTGTAGCGTGCGGCGATCGTTCCGCGGGACTAAAAATACGAAAGCCGTGGTCGTATCAGCCTGTCCCACCCTTCTGGAAATGCTGTCCGGCGGCCTGGCGCGGATTCGCGTGCGCGAGGAAGGAGGAAAGAAAGGGATTAAAAGAGCAGAGACGGGTGGCATCGCGCGGTCCTTGACTCGCGAGGAAGGGCGACAATGAACGTGAAAACGCGGAAGGTGATCGATGTAGCCCGCGGAGCACATGCACCCGCACGCGGTGCCAGGAGGAAAACATTCGGCCAGAGGATTTCTCCGTTGGCGTATTGATTTTCTCCATATCGCTCTCTGTCTCTCCCCTTTTTCCGCTTCAGCGTGGACGCGCGGAGTGCAGCGCTTACGTATCCGTGCTGCGTGAACGTGATATCGATTTTTGACAGCTGCTGCGAAACCAGCACTGCCGCCACCGTGCCAGAAAAGGGGTGCACGAGGTCCACACGCAACCAATCGTGCCGTGTGTCTCTCTTACACCCTCTTCTCACTCTGTCCCCCGCCCCCTGTCTCCCTTTCTCTCTTCCTCTCTTCCTTTCTTCCTCTCTCCCTCCCCCCCCCCCCCCTTTTTTCCCCCTCCCCCCCCCCCCCCCCCCGTTCCCTTTTTCCACCCTCGTCCACCAGCGTCCTTCTACACGCTTTGTCATCGTTGTTTACTCGCCGATCCCACGCCGCGCGTCTCTCCGTCTCTGACATGCTTCTTCGACCACGCCGGAAACGTGGTACGCTCGCGTGACGCTTTTCGAGCCGGCGAAATTCACCGAATTGCAGTTTTCCGTTGGAACGTAGACCGTTCGGAGGGTTCCACCTGGCCACGAGTTTTACGGGGAACGCTCAGCGAGCGGGTTTCATCGCGCGACGATATAAGTGATACCTCGCGAGAGGACCTCGCGAGGGTGGAGATCGATGATCTCGAGGATTGAAATCGTGTCGATACGATGATCCGTCGTGGTGATAGGTCGTAAGGATAATTTGCAACGATCACTGGTCTCATAGGGTAACCACTGAAGGTATGCGTTGCGCGTGTGTTGCAGGTACGGATGATGGAGGAGCGGCTAGTGAAGGGTGAATACTGCTTGAGCACTTCCGGCGTTGGTTCTCCACCGCATTCGCTGCCGTCGACTTCCGGTACGCAGAATGATAAGATCGAGGATGTCCACTGCGCTTGCATCTCGAAGCTAGAGACACAGGTCGAGGAACAGGTAACCGGAAATCGCTCTGAACAAAACATTTAGTCCGCGGAATAAATCTGCAATTGCTTCGATTAAGATCCGATAATCGATTCGCGTTGCGCGGCGGAAAAAAGAACGCGATAAAACGATTCGCTGTTAGTCAATGATTGGACGAGATAAAGCGACGATCGATGAACGATTGCCACACGCTTGCAGAGGCAGTTGCGACTCCAAGACGCGAGGCAGGTCGAGGCGAAAGCCGCGAGAATTAAGGAATGGGTGACCAATAAGCTGAGGGAACTGGAGCAGCAGAATCAACACTTGAGGGAACAGAATAACAAATGTAATCAGCAGTTGGAACTGCTGAGGAATCATATAACCAACATCGGCCTGAAACCACCTGTAAGTTCTGATTAATCGGGATTTCCCGCTCACGCGTACTTTCCCGAGTGGCTCTTATCGTCGAGCTTGTTACGTTGAAATAACGAAATTCCGTTTGCAGGCACCCACAAGGGCATCCCTCTCTCTGGAAGTGGACCCCACGTTACGCAGACGATCGGAAAGCCTGGAGGGAACACCGCAGGCGGTACCGGAAAGCGTGCAGAGCGCCGTAGCGGAACCACAAACCGGCACCAAGCATCGAAGACACCTGTCCGCTTGTGGAACTATACAGCGAGGGATCGCGACCACCAACATGGACTCGAGGTAGAATCTCGTTGCGAAAAATGTTCGTCGACTGACGCTTCCCGCGCCTACGTACATTACGTCTATCTTGTTTTCGCAATGGTCGCTTCTTTCGCTTCTGCTTGCGCGTCGTCAGCCTGTAGCATCGCGTAAATGTGTCTCGATTCTCCTTGGGAGGTCTCACGACGTGATAGCGGCGCCTGACTCTCAAAACTGTGGTACCCTGTAACGTCTTGAGAGTTCCTGTGGGGATCTGTCGACCCGTATACACTTTGTTCTCAATTGCCTTCAAATTTCGAGCTTCCTTTACTTTTTTACCTTCATTTTCTTCCTTCTTATTCGCACGAACATTATTGCTACGGGGCTGTTTCGTATATTAGTTTCGTGTTTTATGCTTCCCCTTCTTTTACCGCTCTAGCCTGCTATCAGAGGAACTCGCTGCCGCTGTGGAAAACCTGGTCATGTTGCCGAACATACCCGGAGTCTCGGAGACCAGCAGAGACAGTGGGAGTTCGGAGGCTATCCACGATTACGCGGAGATCTACACGCCGAGTAGGGAAGGGATGAATTGGGCTCAAAGCGCGCAAGGTCCTCGGCCACCTACTCCGCCCCTGCACCGATTTCCCAGTTGGGAGGCTAAGATATACCAGGTGAAAACGCAGTTTATTTCGTATCACGACTCGCTAATTAGACGAGCTGCCGAGGTTGAAAATGAACCTAGTTTGACGAGAAAGCCTACGGGGTACCTGCGTGTGATCGCCGAGCTGTTACGGATTGTAAGAAAACAAATGCATTTGCGAATTCCATAGGTAGCGGATGGCGGGCTTGGCATCGGTCCACCGACAAACGAGGAATCCGCACCTTCCACGATGACCAACACAACCAGCTCGTCGAAACATTCCCAAGCGACAGGACACAACTTGACTGCGCACAACTCCCAAGGCTATTGCGATATTTCAGTTCCAGTTTACGCAACGGTCAAGGGTAAGTCTCCTTTATTCTCTGTTCGAGCAATATTCTATCGTTCCTTCGTAATTTTCAATCGTTTCATTACTTATCCCGGTTTCTCTCTGCTTTCCTTTTAGGACGAGCCAGTCAAATTAGGTCAATGCCCTTTGGTGATAGTTCCGACGACAGCTCGGACGGCGAAGAACATCCGAATCAAACGGAAACCAATACGAGAATCACCAACAGCTCGTCGGACAACACGGACTCTTCGCTTGGCAGCGGAAGTAGTCCGTCAAAGAGCGTTAAAACTACCAGCAGCCTTAGTCCCGCGAAGAGGAGCTCCAGTGGCTCTCCTAGTAAAAGCGTGAAACGTGGTGAGCATTTTAAATGCCTCGCGGAATTCTTAATTGCTGCGATTGTATGTCCGACAACTTGAAGATCGTGTCCCACTTGCAGATACCTCGCTGGAATCTGGCTTATCGGAAGATTACGCGATACCTCCCGATGCTCTTAGCTCGACCTCCCTCGAATCCAGTATGCCTAGCTTGCTGATGCGAGTCTCTGGCGAGAGTCCAAAACGACAAGAGTCTTTGGAGAAGACCGGCCACCTCGCGAAACTCGGTGGTAAATTAAAAACCTGGAGAAAGAGATGGTTCGTGTTGAAGAACGGAGTACTCACCTACTGGAAAAGTCAGAACGATGTAAATCGAAAACCTCAAGGCCAAATTGTATTGGACGAAGTATGCAGGTAATTGCTTATGCGACGACGTACCGTATCTTTCATTTTTAACAACCAAAGATATCGATAAATAACTAATCGTGGTTAATTTCTATCGATAGGATAAATAGGGCGGAAGGTGCGGCCACGTTTGAGATAGCAACGGGGAAGAAAACGTATTACTTGACAGCAGATTGTATCGCGACGATGGAGGATTGGATAAAGGTGTTGCAGAACGTACAAAGGCGGAACGCGACGAAACTTTTGCTCAGCAAGGAAGATAATAAACCTACGATACAGGGTTGGTTAACGAAAGTGAAAAACGGGCATGCTAAGAAGTGCTGGTGCGTCCTTATCGGAAAAATGTTCCTTTACTTTAAGTGCCCTAATGATACGGTAAGCCATCGATCTGGCAATCGTTCAATGATTACGTTATCGTATGGGTATTATCGAATCCTCCGTTTTATCTGTCTTTTTTTTTTTTTTCCTTTTCTTAGAATCCTATTGGACAAATAAATATGAGGGATGCTAGAGTGGAAGAGGTAGAGCACGTGTCCGACAGTGATAGCGAGGAAAGGGACGCGGAATGTCCTCACGAAAGGACAATCGGCATCTTTCCTACCCATCAAGGCCCTACGTATTTGCTGATGCCCCATAAGCAAGATAAAGACAATTGGCTGTACCATTTGACAGTGGTATCCGGAGGCGGACCTAGCGCGGGAACTCATTACGAGCAGCTGGTGCAAAGATTGATGGAAACTGACGGGGATCCTAGTTGTGTCCTTTGGAGACACCCGCTGTTGCTCCACACAAAAGAGAACATCACTAGCCCACTGACTAGCTTGACATCCGAAGCCTTGCAGACTGAGGCTATCAAGCTTTTCAAGGTTAACATATACGCGTTTTAAACTTTCCTTCGTCAATGACACGCTAGGCAGGAAAAGGAAACTGAAAAATGAAATTTTTCTCTCTGCAGGCTTGTCAGTTGTTTATGTCGGTGGCAGTGGAGCAAGCGGGCATAGATTACCACGTGGTATTAGCACAAAACGCGTTGCAACAATGCATAGATCAACCTGAACTACAATCTGAATTCATATGTGCACTGGTAAAGCAGACAAGTCGTCACACTCAACACCGTTTGGGCGTACAGGTAAAAAAGGCCGCCAGACTTGTGTCGCTGGGTACTGCGCGCGTTGTAAGTCCTGCTTATTGTTTAACAAACACTCTGAACCCTGTACCATTTTTACAGCCATCTTTCATCGCGCAATTTTCAATAAATGTTTCATCTATTGGCCGAAACGTTATCATCATCGGGCCAATAGATTTAACGATACGTTTTAGAAAAATCTGTTCAAAGAAAGAATAACATTGGATTAATATGTGTTCAGAAGAAATGGTACACTGGGTATGCTTAGTCAAGTATTATACGAAATAATCTCGTTAAAGTAGCGGTGAACTGTTTAATTCACTTTATTCTTTTTCCTTTCGTAAGGTAACTAACTAATAATTAATGCAACCTGATTGTCGTTTATTTGCAACAACGATGTACGATAATAATAATAATAATAATAATAATAATAATAAACAATAATAATAATGGTAATAATAATAATAATAATAATGAGAATAATACTGATCATGATAATAATATAGTAACAATAATATTATTAATAATCATAATAATAATAATAATAATAATAATAATAATAATACTTGACAAAGTTTTTAACAAAGAACGGTTTTAGTTTTAACATTCATTCACAATTCATTTTCATTTGCTGCTTTACGTGTGCTCTTCCTAGGCTACTCTAAAAACGCATGCATTTCTTTCGATACTTGTGTTTTTTTCTTTTTTTTTTTCTTCTTCTTTTTCATAGAACATCGTCGTGTTAAGTTTGTTTTATTTTTATTGTGTACTTTTTGATATTTATACATGATACCCGATCACTTGTACCCTGATGCCCTATCATGTGAGCCGAACATATTTCGACAATTCATCAGTAATATCAGTTAGACACACTCTTCTATTTCATCGATCATACTTTATCATCGATGCATTATCGATCGATCGTATAATTTGTTAATGAAACATCATCATCTCGGGACTTGTCAAAATACGTTCTGCGGCACACACACTTGCAGAATGGTATGTTGGTGTACATAAAAAACCACACACAGAAAAACATCTTTTTACTAGATTGGTTTTTTGTTTCTGTTTCCGTACGTTTTTTTGCTCGATAGCTCATTACAAAATATTCTCTGTTTTTTGAATGCTGCTTAGAAAAATTAGTCTTTGATTATCTGGTCATAAACGGTTACATCGGAAAGATGATACAAAGAAAGAAAAGAAAAAAAAAAAAAAGAAAAAGAACAGCAACAACAACTAAGAAGCTCCTTACAGATTCGAACGTTCGTCGTAGTGTACAAATAGAACTTGGGAAATCATGCAAATATTTAAGGAGAAAGCGCGTGTATGATTCGTTCATGACAGACGAACGTGAGAAAAATGGTTTCGAGCTGTAAGGTAGACTCACATGGCCTAAAAATATACAAAAGCGCTTCTCTCATCCACATTTCTCTTAATTCATTCGACTTATAATATTACAGTTCATGCGTTTTATGTGATTAACACACATAGAGTTATGCGTTAATCAATCCGATTTCGATTGCTTATATACTAACAGGCATTATATTATGAACGTGTAACGAACCTAGAGTGTTCCATCAGTTCCGAGAACGTTTAAACGTTTGCCCCAAATATTCCTCACACGATCTAAAATTCATATTAAGAAGTCGATAAGTTGCCAAGTTCCAGAGTTCTTTAAAACACGTTTCCTTCATTGCCCTGATAAAATAAAGACTATAAAAGAAGCGATAAACGAGGACAGTGGGGCGCGATTTAGTAAAGAAAAAAAAGAAAAAAGAAAGAAAGAAAGAAAGAAAAAAAGAAAAAAAGTAGTAGATTAGGTCTGGTTCAATCCAGGGATATAGTAGTATGCCAGCATACCATTGCAGCAGCTCCTTCTCTGCGCCACACAATCGCTGTTCACCTGCGATACGCAAAGTCCCGCGGCAAATGGCAGCGGTGAAAATGCGGACGCACAATCGACGGCCTCCACTTCTCACAGTCCTCCGCTCATGCAGGGCCACTCAACCTCTACGATTTTGGACTGCAAAACTAATCCCGCCCAGTACGTTCTTATCCAGGGATGGCAGCTGCTAGCGCTCGCTGTTTCACTTTTCCTACCAAGAAACAATCGACTACTCTGGTACCTGAAGTTACACTTGCAAAGAAACGCAGACACTAAGTAAGTGGATTCTTTCCTCTTATATCCAGTTTTATTCGCATTCAGATTTACGAAATTACAATTACATTTGAATTTCAATTTTAGGACGGAATGTGGCAAATACGCTGCTTACTGCGAAAGAGCGTTGGAAAGAACACTGCAAAATGGCGGAAGGGAGGTGAAACCATCGAGGATGGAAGTTCTGTCGATACTAATGAAGAATCCTTACCACCATTCTTTACCACACGCGATACCGGTTCACTTCTTGAACGGCACGTATCAGGTTGTAAGCTTTGACGGTAGCACGACGATAGAAGAGTTTCTAAACACCTTAAACCAGGAAATCGGTTGTCGAGACGTTCATCAGTCAGGTTTCACGTTGTTCAGCGACGACCCGATCGAGAAGGATCTTGAACATTTCATTGATCTTCAAGCGAAAGTACGTACTTCAAGAAAATGTGAAAATTACAAGAAGAACTCGGAAAATACTTCGGTACATTGATGTTGTCTGTTTTAGCTTTGCGATATAATCTCCAAATGGGAAACCGCGTTGAGGGAGAAAGGTTCGGGGAAATTTGAGAATACCAGAGTGATACAATTAACGTACAAATCACGGTGTTATTGGAGACAGGCGGCCAAAATGGAAACCGACAGAGAACGGCTTCTTCTGTGCTATCAAGTAAACCAGCAGGTTGTACAAGGCAAATTTCCAGTAAATCGAGAACTTGCATTTGAACTTGCGTCATTAATGGCACAGGTAAAACTATCCGTTAAAATCAACGGTAGTATTTTCTTGATGAAAAAGATTTTAATATATTAACTAGATATAACGTGATATAATAAGTAAATGTTGCAGATCGATTTCGGAGAATATAATAACGACAAAGCTCGAGGTAGCGGTCCGGGAAGCAATCCGCATCATTTAGTACTCCAAGCCTTGGATAAATTTTATCCCGTACGATATCGGACAAACATTACCGCTGAGCAGTTAAGGCAAGTATCATGTAAATTAAAAAGACTGGTTAACAGGAATCAGTTATATTTCAAATTCCCAATTTTTTGCAGAGAACTGCAAGAGAAGCTGCAAGAGAAATGGATAGCGTTGAAAGGTCGCAGTGTATTAGACTGCGTTCGTATATATTTAACTTGTACCAGAAAGTGGCCTTTCTTCGGAGCTACACTCTATCAAGCAAAGGTTAATAACAGTACATTTTTACTCGTTAAAAAATCAAAAATAACATTTTTAAAGAAACTTTACCTCACAGTTGAAACAAGCTGAACCGATAACCGTTTGGATAGCCGTTTCCGAAGATAGTGTTACGCTACTGGAATTACAAACAATGGCAGTGATGTGTCGTTATAATTATGCAAATATAGTTACATTCGGCGGATGTTTAGATGATTTTATGCTGGTAGCTTGCCCCGACGAAGGCGCAGCTGAACAAAAACTTTTGTTCGCACTTTCAAAACCTAAGGTATATCATTGGCAAAACGTTGAAACCAGATTTAAAAATATTAAGCATTATCTATTCATATCCGTAGATTCTGGAGATAACGTTGTTAATTGCCGATTACATGAATGCCTTGGGACACACTTTACCTGGTACTCCACAAATGAATACACTGACTCGTAATGGTTCTCACAGATCAATTAAATCAACTCTAAGACCTACAACTGGTTTGTATAAATGTTTAATTTCATATTTCGCCCCCCTCCCCCCTCATCTTGTTTTATTAATATTTCTTTTTACTATGGTTTTTCTTTACCAATTTTGATATTAAACTTACAAATTAAATTAGGTTCGGGCTGTCTTCCAACACAACCAGATATCCTAAAATCGACGCCAGACCACCAAAGACCTTAAAAAAGACTGGTCAATCAAATTGAGAAAAGGAAGCAGGGGAATGTGGCACTTGGTTCATGAAAGTCTGATCCTGCCAAGGCACTAACTTTATACTCAAAGGTACTACAGGCTGTATTATAAGAATCCGCGTAAAACGACACACTGTGGACGACGCTCAGCAACGTGTGCGCTGTAGTTGATTTTAGTTGCGTTTTGTGTAAATTAGAGATCATGCTTGACAGACAAGGTCTTTGTGTACATACTTGACAGCATGCAAAACTATGTGGTCCACGTTACGCGATTTTAACGTGGGTGACTGAAATTTAATCGAAAACGATCTGCAACACTGCCTAAAGTAAATTAGTATGTCTGAAATTACATCGAATAGTTTCATTAAAAAAGCTAAAGCATCATGCTGAAACTTTTTGCTACCGTATTTATATACCAAATTCAAAACATTTAGCATAAGGTAACTAACAGAAGTGGTGTATCACATATGTATATAATTAATCGGAGTTACTGGATGTTTAGAATCTAGTGAGTGATGCAGCGACAACCTTTGTCTTTAATGTGAGAGTACGCCGACGAAATTCTTATTTCTTGCCAAATCAATCGCAATAAACAAACAATGAGCTGCAATTAACTGGTAGTTATAAACGAAAATCGAACACGTGAACATAAATTTTCAGGTTCTTTTAATGTTTTATTTCAAATGCAAGATATTTCAAATATAATAACTATACTTACTGTCAACGTTGGTAATTACATCGTATAATGATCTATTTTAACTGTGAAAATACAAGATTTATTACGTCGTTTAAATACTTTTAATACATTTTATAATTCCCAATTTCGAAAATATGATTAGTTGGAGACAGTAAGTATAGTATTAAATTTAGATTTGGTTGAATTCAAGCTCAATCATAAGAGAAAATTCTTTGTGTTAAGAGTGACAAGTGAAACTTACATATTATTATTATGTTATTTTGATAACAGCTAGTCTCATATTTTATATTTATTTAATGTTTAAGCAAATAAGTTCACTTTATAAGGACACGACCAAATAGATGTAATGGGAACGCGTTTTCTTTAACAATTAGTATCGTTCCTGCGGTTGTATACGTGCAACATTTTTGTACTAATTAAACAATGATCCCGTCACGTATAGAAGTTTTGTACTCGCTTGACGTGTCCTACATAACTAGCAAATGTCTTCCTTCTCTTTAGTACCCAGAAATAAATAAAAGTTGAAAGTAGGGCTTTCGTGCAATATGTACAAGACTTCTATAATTTTATAATTCCTGAGATAGGCTGAGTATGACTGTGCCTCTCTGAACAGTATAGACAAAGTAACTCTGTGCACGGCTTTGTTTAGCGCATTGAAGATTTATATAAAATAATAAACGATCGAACCTCAGATTACTGGGAGCAGTACAAAGATATGCAAGAACGACATTTTGTCTTTAATTTTTATAATATGCAATGAAATGCTACTATTTAGGTGCTTAGCACCTTTGTATCATGATGCAGTAAAAAAGAGTCACTGATCTGTAAATATCACTCTAGGCTTAAGTTTCTAAATATAATAGAATGAGAAGATGGCAGCTGATAAAGGCTACAATCGTGGTAGAAATTTGCGATCGTCTAGCTGTCTACAAAATATTCTACTGAGCCTACCACCTTACATTTCTATTTATTATTTATTCGCATAAAACGACGCATAAAGGCACGAGCGGTGTAAGCAAAAAGCATTGTACTATTGTACAGAAAAAGAAATAAACTGCTCGGATCTACACTTTAAAAGACTATTTATTTACTTCACATATTGAAACCTTCATCACAATAATGATATTTTTTGAGCTTGTCATAACATGTATCATTTATTTTACATTAAGTCCACAGCAATATAATCATAGATTCAGTCTACTTCTTCAGGTCTTACAGGATGAGTTAATGGTATTACTGATTTCTTTTTCACATCTCTTGAAAGTGCCTTTCGCATGTCTGAAAGAAGCAAGTACAAAATATTAAATCCATATTTGCAAAATCTTTTATAAAAATATTATAATAATAGTTTGTATACCAAAAGCATCTTCATCTGGGTTTCCATTATAATATTCTAAGACAGTTCTATATACAATATATCCCAACTGTTGGTACATTTTGATTGCTACTTTATTGCTAACTCTCACAAACAGATCTACAAAATATGCTTGTTTCCTGTAATGACAAAATATATTAAAATATAGAAGACATATTACACGACATAATTATCGTTTAACTTACTTCTCCGAAACTTTTTCTAAAAATTCTATTAACATTCCAGCCAAACCCAGTCTTCTATAATTAGGTGAAACTGTAAGAGCTGTTATGTGGCCATGCCAATTTTCCGCTTGACCTTCTGCTTTTCCCATAACTTTAATATTTTTTAAAGAAAACAAAATCTGTATTCTATCTCTAATATTCATCTTTGGCGTGTATAAGCAACAAGAAGTATACTTTAATTATGTGATACAAGAAAAAGCTTACTGTAACCCATAATTTCTCCACTTGGTGATTCTGCTACTTGAAAATATTCTGGCCAATGTGCCAAATAATGTGTATAAAAGCAAAGTCCATACTATAGAACTTAAAATTAAGGAAAGTATATACAGATATTGTGTAGTTAATATATTTTAATCAGCAATCATATTACAAAATAAAATATTTAAAGGATACTGTCTCTGTAAGCGGATCTAAATTTCTATAAAAAGATAAGATTATTAAAAAAGCCGGTAAATAACTGTTTTTATTTATAATCACATGTTTAGGTTAGAAACAAGGTTATTAGTTGACAGATATGTATATTACTTACACATTGTTAAACTTAAACAAGTCATTACACGTAAAAGGTCGAAGGGTTGTCATGTTTTAAAAGCGATGAAGAATTGAGTAAATAAAATTAATGCAAACGTGATTTAATAGGAAAATACTACTAATTCCAAACTCAAGCAAGATAAATACAACCAGTGTAATTTACTCTCCTGTCACTACAGGTCGCCACTGCACAATGCTAAAAATTTCAAAATTTAATTCTAACTTTAAATAACTGTATATGCATATAATATATGATTTATAAAATTGGTTTATTATAAAGCAAATAAATAAATAATAATAATGTAAATAATAAATTACACAAGAAAACCTTCATAGTTCGAAAACAATTTTATTAAAGTTCTTATAAGAAAAGAATACAAGCAAGGTATTTTCTTGTAAAATTTAAACTTACGTTATGTTACTTCTTTTTACAATTGTTTTTGTTTAATATTCGTGAATATTAATATGCAGTCATGCCTAAGATGCAGTCAAAAACATGTTAAATTGTGTAAATAGTTCTATGGTAAAAATATGAAGTGTAATACATTTGCCTCGTGCGTTGCACAAAACGACGTAATTTCTTTTGAGCGTTATATTTCCTTTGTGGATATTAAAAATTCATTGTTACAATAATTTTCCGTTGAAAAAATAGTTGAACTTTTTTTTAGTTACACTTTTATACTTTTTAAAAGACCGTTTGCAATATTATACAAATATGAAACCAAAGCTTTGGAGCACCTTTCATACAGAACACTAATATTACAAATATCAGTACTGTAATTTTAAGCTTCGGAATTTATCTTATTTATAGCATTACAAATCTTAAATACTATTTATGTCTTAAAAAAGAAAATAACATTCTAAGTGAATATTAAATACAATATAAAGGAATATATGAAAAACATGCTCCAACATTAACAATAATTAAATTATTATTTTAAATATACATGAATAATATTGCATCTTGTATAAATATTCTTATGATAACAATAAGAATAAAGAAATTAAAGCACAACCAGTTTTTCATTTTTGTTTAATCCTAAATATTTTATACTGATATTTTGTTAAAAAGTGTGCTGTATAAAATGTGACATGCTTCAACAATATGCTTCATAATTCATATACAGCACAGAACAAATGTTTAATGCAATCCATATAGTATTAAATATACTTTACTGTAATAAATACAACATCATGTTTTTAATCATATTGTTTTGTGTTATTAATGAAACTTGATATTTAAACTTTTATTGTACCACATGTTGTATTTTAAATCTAATGTTGCTAAGTATCTCAAAAATATTGGCCCTTATATTGGAGTAAATATGTTATTATGCAATTATCATTATGTTACATTATTTCCTTTTTTCTTTCATATATTCTTATACATAAATAAGAGCTTAATTTTTACATTACTCACAATTAAGTATTAGCAAAATCTTAATATATATCTTGTAACCTCTTTTTTTGATTAGCAATATAGTCAAACTTTTTATTTCAGTAACTTTAAACGATGTACTGTAGTTTTTGTAATGCAAAACATAAATTTTATTCATAAATTTAATAATCCCCTATAGTACAATTGATGATATATTTAGAATCTTGCCTTTATCATTTCTAAAATTCGCAACCAAGACTAGAAACATTTCATTGAGACATAAAATATTTACTTAAATAAAAGAGTAACACCATTATATTATCTTATCAAGTAAAAATGCATTTGTGATGTAATTGAGAAACAAGAAATCGTTGAATACGCAAGCATAAATTCTTTTAATTTGGTTTTCTTTTTCCTGCCATGGTACTGTTTATCTGAGAGTTATTTGCTTATTTTGAAGTTATGTGTCTATACATTTTTATAATAAATGCATTCAAATGCAAAGAAATGTCACAAATATTCGGACATTTTAACAATACAGTATTCTTTCATAAATTTATATATCAGAAACTTCCGTGCCTTAATCCGATCGTGTATTATAGAAACTTAATACTCTTTACATGTAAATAATATCCACGCCTATCATCTGATATCAACATTGACCTTCTTAGATTTGTTATATAATTACATTTTGTCATAAAATTTACCATCATACACGTTTTGAAATTTTATCTTCATTAATAAAAATTAGGACAAAAATATAACTGCTACAGCTATTCCATGACAATAGATATTTATATCATGTGTGCATTGTCTAATTACTTCTTTAATTCATCAGTCTAGAAATTGCTTTCAATTTGGACTATACGTTTTATTTCACACTAACCAATTAGGCAGCATTGAGGACATATCTTTAGTAACTCTATTATTTCTACATACATGCAATTATGAGGTTTTTTTTTTTTTATAAAGTGATGTAACATGAATATCTTAAAAACTAATTGTAGGCGTTGATTTAGCTATGAAAATTATGCACAAGATTTGCATATGCATATGTACAATTAACACTGAGGTTTGTCCGTAGGAACAAGGCACGGCTGACGTATCGTCTTCTTTTACTGAACAGTGTTATTATTGGTTTAACAATGAAGTACACATCTTACTTATTTTGACAGATTTTACAAGATATTATCTTTATTTCTGCCAAGTTTTAAAACAATTTACGTCAAATTTCACATCTACTTTTTCATAGAATTATGAACTTATATAAATTTTCTAATACGTGATTTAAAAAATTATGTTTATATGATTGACTTCGCATTAAAAAATACTTTTTTCTATCATGTATCACAAATAAATGGATATTTTTTGAAATGGTATTTACTATTACTGCTTCTATACAACAGTAACAATTTACTATTACATTTTACAGTTCCATTTCAAAATATTACTGAAGACATTGTATTACAAAACACACGTGCAGAATACTATGAAAATCGCCTGAATTGTTGCCAAGTCCTCCAGACAGATCAAATATATCAAATATAGACATATTTTTACACTTTGTAATAAATGAAAAAATAGAAAAGATAACTTTTACATTAATGATGAATATTTTATACTATCATGCAACTGGTAGCATTATATACTCTAATTGAATTAACAAACATGAAATTATTCTTTTATATAGAAAATATGAGTAACAAAGTGAATTTTTTCTAGTGAGCTTTTCAATAAAAAGTTTAAATAATTTTTAAAACGAAGTAATACCACATTTTAAATGTTACAAATTCTATATTGTTAGAAATTCAACCACTGACATTTAATAAAGTCTATTGAAATTACCTTGAATTATTCATTATGTAAATAAAATAAATTTGTAATTAATTTATCAATGAATGTTATATTACTAATCTCTTTTACCAAAGGCAAATAGCTTACTTACACTGTAAGCTATTATTATAAAATGTAGGTATAGAAAAATGACAGTAAATAAATTTCTTAAATTGACTTTTTAAAATAAAATATTTCAATTGTCTGAAATTATTCATTAGTCTATTATAGGACAAAAAATACTTCAAATTATATTTATGGTATTAATAAAATGGACAAATGATGATAAATAAATCTGAATGGCAATGAAATTAATAGTTGCAATTCACTATCTGTGACATAACTAGATTACAAACATTCATTTGGAATTGAGAATCCATACATTCGTTAGTTTTGTTAGTCAACATCAAGAATAATATTTGAGGCAGGAATACTTTTACTTTACTACATTATAATTTTACTTAATTTTACTTATAATTTTACTTATACAAAAACGTAATTTCTTGTATAGCATAAAACGCTTTACCAGAAGCAAGATAGCACATATGCAAACATATTATAATGTATATAACTAGACGTTATAAAAAATAAATGAAGGACTAGGAATCTCAATGGATCCTGATGAATTTTGGAACCTTCATTGGCAGACGCTTGTGTGCCAAGAAATGTTCCATATTTGTAAAAGTTTTCCAAAAGTGCTTCTTTTTCGACCCACCTATCATATAACCATTTAGACAACAGTTCTGGTTCTCGTGGAACCTAAAATTAATAACATAATAAAATATTTCTTCAGAAATCACGAGTAGTGATCTATGTTTTAAAACTCACCACTGAACTAGGAAAAACTCGGTAAAATAATACTGTTTCACATGGTGACCGTGAACCAGTAATAATTGTTGGTAAATCAAGTGGTTTACCTTGAGGATATGCTATTGTTATATCAACAATCCACTTAATTTCTGGTTTAGCTATCATCATGTCTATAAAAAATTATCATTTATATATATTAGTAATTTATATAAGTAACATAAATGACAGAAGTCATATAATTGTAGGAAAAGTTAATGTAGATAAAATAAACTAGGATATCAATAAAATTACTATTTGTACATTACTTACTTGGTCTGCTATTCAATTGTTGTTCTGCTGTATTATTTTCTTGTGATGGACCAATCGTATCAAATATAGTTTGTATTGCTCCTACCCGTGGTAATGTCACATTTTCAAGAATTGGCAAATTATTCTTTTTAGCATATTTTTGTGATGTCTCTCGTCTTTTACATAAAAAACCTCCTTCTGGGAAGAGAACTAACCATTTTCTGTTCAATGGAATATATGACTCCTTTAAATGTTTTTCTAATTGCTTTAAACTTTCTTCTCTTCGTTTACGGCCCTAATATAAGCATTCCAAAAAAAAATAACTTTATTACATATGAAACTTAACATTTTAAACATATTACAATTATAGACACATCAAAAAAGGGAAATTCACTTACAGACAAAATAAAAAAGTCCTGGTGTAAAACAGAAACTATACCAAAGTTAGTAAATTTAAAAATCTTATCCATAATCCATGTTAGATTAGGTAACATATTTGGTTTAGCATTAAATGTTGTCATTAGTATAGGAACATCACCAGTACTTTGATGATTTGCTATTACTAATGTTCTTTCACTAATAATTTTTTGTATATCATCACCTTGTTCTATTACTATAAATTAAAAATTATTTATTATTCATTATCAATATTACTCTCATAATTCTGTTCATGTTATTTCTATACTCACTACTATAACCTGCAGACCAAGTCCACATTGATACCATTGCTAATAACCAATGAAAAAATAATCCTTCTATTCTCCAATATACTTGTGGCTGATAGACTTTTACAGGGAACAATAACGCCATCCATACTACATATGTTGGTATACAATAAACATTGTTGAGTATCACAAAACTGGTTCTAACAATACATTTTACAAAAGTTAACACATTACTGATTACCCTGCAAATGTATAAATACAATAAGATTCATAATTATAAAAATAATTTTTAAATACTCAAAATAATTATTTATAGTTTGATGACTAAACTTTTGAAAGCTTATAAGACTTGTTTATATCCTTTATAACAATATGGCTGAACTGCAAGTTACTAGAGTAACACTTTGTTTCATTGACCTTTTTCACATAAAAGTTAATTTATATGTAACAGATGCACAAAAATGTCTTTCATTTATAATGGTACTTATCACATTAATATAAAATTTCAATGTATAATTTTAACATTACTTGTAATTATAAAGATAATATTATCTTTGTTCTTATAACTCTGATATTTTTTCCTCGATTACAGTAGTTAATTTTTTAAAATATCCATTTTAAATAATATGTACTTAAATATATTTAAATAATATTTTAAATAAAATTTTTAATAAATACAATATGAAATTTCCAACTTTTTAAAAGTATGTCTTCAAAGAATGACAAAATTGTAAAACTTAAAATTAAAATTTTTTTCAGGAATTCAACTAGTAGAAAAAATAACTATAATTTAGTCAACATTTATTATCACATGCAATGATAATTTGTTTCATCCGAGATCCTTATTTTAATCGAACAACATATCTGCAAACATATGTTATACAAAATTCAAAAAATTCAATTAATTAACATAAAGAACGATAGTAATTTCAAATTATTTCAGAAATTGCATTGAGAACATGAGGCCCGGCTCGCATGACATTCTAGGTTAAGGATAAAATACACATTTTTACCAAATTAAAAACTACAAAATATTTTAACTGTAATATAGTTTACAACTATAGAAAGACATTTTTGTTCACTGATATAGAAATTGGAAATAATACATGTTATATTTGACAGAACATAATTTTACTTACCTCATAAAAGTAGAAGAGGAAGAAAAGTCAGTCATTTTCGAAAGACACCACTTATAATGCGAACTCGAGCAAATGTTAGCCACGATTTTTTGAGCATAGCATTCCCTTTTGCACAAATTACATAATAAGGATCATTAAATTGGATGACACATATGATCCGCGTGCTGTTTACATGAGACGTAAATTTGTATAAAGTTGTTAAAATATTACAATTTAATAAATGTAACCGCTTAATTTAATCGCTGAATAATTGCTCTCAATATCACCAGTTCCAATTGACACACAGTTAATAAGATAAAACTGTGATAAGTAGATTTATCGGCTTGTTACCGACTACCACTTAAATGACGTTTTTCGAAAATACACCATAATTTTATAATTTCTACTATATGCAAAATCACTACACACACGTAACATAAATACAATGGCGACGAAAGTTAACAGACTGGTAAAAATACTACATAATCTCATCAATAATTAACATATTTAACAGCTCCACATCATATTTGTAATTAAATATAAAATAATTCAAAAAGAAAAAAATTCCATGATTATGTTTATAAGATATGTTTGAAAGTGCATGTTTTTGTATGTTTTTGTAACCACGACGGTAGCTCTCCAATCAAAAAACTGAGTGTAGTTTTCTAAGAAGCACATTTTATAAATATTCAAATAATCTTATAATAATATAACAGAATACACATTCTACTTGTAATAATACAAAATTAATTAGAAACAACTAATAAATCACATGAGCCAATCACATTCTTATTTATTTGCGCACATTGTCGTTAATTTTATCCACCTCAAGCTGCCAGACTTGTAGAACTTTTGCAGAACTTTCCCCTACTTTCCTATCACGAAAGTAGGAGAAAAGTGAGGAGTGGGGAATGATGTGACTTGGCATATACGTTACGTCACAAACACGAGATTTGAATGCTGAAGGTGCATTTCCCCACTTCTAGTTCTTTTCCCCTACTTTTACATAGGAAAGTAGGGGGAAGTTCTACACGCCTGATAGCCTAGTTTGAGATAATTTGTGTTGAAATGATTTGTGTAGCACGTGGTGAAATAGAATAGTGAGAAAGAATTAATTTGTTCTTATACCAGTATGGGTCCTTCCCAAAAGAGACCCCCTAGAAAGCAAAAATTCTATAAAAAGTGGTTCTCCGACCCAGCACTTGGCACGTGGGTACAAAGAGTGGATGGATGTCCTTATAAAGCGAAGTGTATAGCCTGCAATACAATTCTTGCTGCTGGAAGAAGCCAATTATTGAAACATAGCAATGCAGTTGTGCATAAAGAAAACATGATTAAGGCCAAAGAAGAGGGAAAATTACAAGAATTGAAGACATTAGAGGAATCATTACAGGAATCATTAGAGGAATGTATTTCGTTTTTATAAATATAGTTTATCTTTTATATACTTTCCTTCATGTTAATTATTATGTCCTATTCTTCAGTGTTCTTCTCTTATTACTGTTTTAGTTTTCTTCTTTCAAATTTGATCATTTAATAAGATGTACTGTACAGTTGTACTTTGTACCATACTCTCATATCACCTGTACAAAACAATACATCCCCACCCTTGTGACATATACGATGTGTCAACAAACGCACGACGTGGGGTACGGACGGTGTCATTTTTCCACACCTAGTTTTTTCTATCTTCGCGTTAGGAAAGTTCTAGGAAAAGTTCAGCAAATGTTGTTTGCCTGGCAGCCTGGTCTCCAACTCTAATAAAATCGACATCTCCACTTAGCTTAGTCAGAATCTATCTAACTATAACATACTTTATGCCTAGTTTTCAAGTTGCTCACCTATCTGCCCTTACTGTTCTTTTAGTCTGTATTTCTTTCGATTTGATACTTTTGATATTCTAAAGTATTATTAAAAGAAGTAAATATTGAAAATTGTTAAAATGACATTAAATCTATTGAGGTGTCAATTCATCAATCATGGATTATTGGAATTAAAGAAATCACCTTTTTTAACATTGAGGTTGTCATTGAATACATCGATAGTTTCTAAAGGCAGTAATAAGGTACAAATGTGTAATATAAAATAGATATTATGACTTAAAAAGTGTAACATTTTCAATAACAATATCTTAAATTGTGATCTTTTTTTACTCTTTTCTACTCTTTTCGGTAATTACCTTTTGTTAGTAATTTTAATTACATTGTACAATATTTTTACATAATCGCCGGTCCATATCTTAAAATAGTTTTAACGAATACAGGAATGAAAAATATCTCACTACACATATTTTTTAAATGCCACTATGTTATTTCTAACATAACAATTGAATACGTTTGACATTTAATCGAATTGTGTATAAATTGAGAAACTTTTTTCAGTGAAAGTAGATTATTTAATAAATTAAAAAAAAGATAACACGGGAAAAAACTTTCTTATTATAAAAAATATTAAACAAATATACATATTAAATCTTTATATGTATATAATGAAAATTGAAAAATAATATTATTTATATTTAATTTTATTTTTATATTACATATTTATATACATATGTTTAAATTTAATTTTTTCTTTTTAATTAATATTATACAAACACGAAAATATATCTATATACATATTGACACATGTTTAGTATTACAATTGGGTGTATCTTACTGACCTTCAATTTCCCCTGCTTAAACTAGTATAACAGTTATTCTAAAGCTACATTCAGTCAGTTTTGTTACATAATTTATTGTCTTACAATGGTATGGGCCATATGTTTTTTTCAATAAATAAATTCTATGTTTGATTTTGTAATGATCTTTTAATATTACAATTTTAGGATGCAAGTGAATATA